TAAATAAAAGTATTTTCGGTTTTTTTTGAAGAAAAAACAAAATGAACCAAATCAAAATTGAAAATCATCATCAACTAATATTGCAAGTTTACCATTATAAAAACACACTAATCAAAAATGTTCAATTAAATAATTATGACTTTTTTGTTTGTTTTGTTTTAAAACTTGTTTTTTTTATTGTTTTTTGCTTGGTTAATGATCAGTTTTAAATTGATTTCAATCGATTGATTGATTGATTTTTATTTTTTTGATTTGATCTTTTCATTATCAAATCGACAATTTGATAATGATCATTTTCAATTCGTTTTCGTTATCGATGTACATTTTGTCGAAACAAACAAACAAACAAACAAAAAATCTGATGATTTTCTGAAGCACATCATTATCAAGTCGATTTTTTTTCCTATCCAGAACAAATTTCAATAGAATTTTTTCTTTTTTCGTTTAAATAAAATTAAATGAGTAAAGAAAAAAAAAACAAAATCAAATTGATGATGTTTTTTTCGACCAAAAAATCCAAAAAAATCCAAAATTTTCAAGTCACAAACAGAGATATCGAGAATTTTTATTCGAGAGTTTTAATTCTGCTGTTGGTAATGTATCTTTGGAACCCAAATGGAAATGAATGAATTTGACTACTATCGAATTGAACAAGAGAGGGAGAGAATATATCAATTTTAAAAATAGAAACTTTAAAAACAAGAAAATAAAAATCTTGTATGTTTTTTTCTCCTCTGTATTAGCATCAATATTTTGTGTTCCCCTTAAAAAATTATTTAAGAAAAAAAAACTACAAGATAAGATCAAACAGTCTGCCAATTTATTCTTTATTATTATTATTTTCTATTTATAATGATGATGATTGGTTATTTATTTTTGTTATTTTATTTTTGTTAAAAATAATAAATCAGTGTTTTCAATGAATAAATAATATTAGTGAGGAGAGAAGAGAAGTAAAAGAAAAAACAAAATTCAATACAAAACGAGCAAATCAAAATTTAAACATGATTTTTCTTTCCATTTTGTATCCATAATAACAAGCAGTGAAGAAAAAGTCAGAAAATTTAATGATAACAAACGAACAAACGAACAAACGAAGAATCTCCATGTCTTTTTCGTTTCATTTCACAATTTCACAATTTTCAATTCAATTCATCAATCATCATATATTCAATATATAATAATATCAATAAGATTTCAATAAGATATAGCGCTAAAGAATTTTATTGCTTTTCAAACATTTTTATATTTCATATTTTGAATTTAAATTTTGTTGTTGTTGTTTTTGTTGTTGTATATTCAACAACATTTGATTGAAAATGTCAACAAATAATAATAATAATAATTTCAATAAGTGTATTATTGCACCTAGTTCAATTTCGATGATAATAACAAAAAATCACCAATAAATTACCAATATTGGTCACATTTTTTAATATACAAGTTTTGGGCTTATTATGACCATCATTATCATCATAAATGATTTGGATCAATCAACATTGTTGCTCGAAAGAAATGGGAATTTTTTTTAAATAAAGTTCAACCAAAATTCAAGCGAAAAAAATGATCATCATCATTAACAACAACAACAACTGGAGGGGAAAACAAAATTCCAATCTCTGGAATTTCAATGACAAAAAAATATGAATTTTTGTTTTTTTTCTTGAATCTTTTGTAAATGAATCCAAACAAATTCCACATGTTTTTTTTGACATTTGAATTTTATTGTTGTAATGATAATGGTATGGTGGTCAAATCACTGAATATTTCTTTTCTTCTTTTGTCATTGAATATGTAATAAGGGAAAAGAATCGACAAAAAACTAAATCAAGTTCACTTTTTTATTACTACATGTATTGTCATTCATTTTAAGAATTTTTATTATAGAGCGACGACTCAAACATCAACAACATTTTGAAAATATCCAAAACTTGATCTCAATTTTTGGTTTGTCACATTTACACACAACAACAATATTCTCATTTGATTTTCATTGAATATTTTTCAATCAAAAAAAAAAATCAAAAAACGCATGCGTACCAAACCACTATCATTATCAATTGAAACAACAACAACAAAACGCATTGAAATTGTTGCATGCACACACAGCGAACAGAGAATTTTTTGGGAAAAAAATTCATGCAAACAAAAAAAATAAAACCTGTGTGCAATTATGGCCACCATCATTCATTCATTCATTCAGTCAGTCAGTCAGTGATTCACAATCAAATCAAGTGCGTCAAAAAAAGAAAAATCATTTTTTTTCATTCAATCAGTTCAAATAATAATAATAATGATAACAACAACAACAGAGAAAAAAATGTGTAGTGTTTGGTGTATTTGATTTTTATTGAACAAAACAAAAAACATCGATCAACAATCAGCAATCAAAAATCAATGATCAATGATCAACAACGATGATTTTTGATGACATTGAAAAAAAAACATGAAAAATTTAAATTTTTCAAACAACAAAAAAAAAATTTGAATAAATGAATATCATTTCAACAACAACAACAGCAAAACATTTAAATTTTATCGTTTGATAAACATCCGGTATCTTTTTGTAAATGAATTTATTTCTCTTTGTGTGTGTGTTCGTGTGTGAATAATGTTATTTTTTTTCTGATGATTTTTTTTCCTGATTTTGCTGAAATTGATTGATTTAATTTTGATTTGATAAAAATTTTTCTTCTGATGATGATTCTGGATCGACAACAACTACAACTTTGACAACTTTGACGATTGATGTTTGTTTTTTTGATAGTAAGATTTTTGTTGTTTATTTTCACTTTGTATCAACGGTAAATTCATGGTTCCACATTGCAATTGAAAAAATCAATTATTGAATTATCCATTCATTTGAAAAGAAATTTTTTTATTTTCTTCAGAATTTTTTAGCCAAAGTAAACAAGAATCTTTTTTCTTTTACTTCATTTTCTTTATTAATGTTTTCTCAATGTAAATATTTAATGTTACAAAATGATTTGCTGTTTTTTTTGTTTCGATTTTGTTGTTGTTCAGGCAAATCCCATTCCCAAAAAAATTAGTGTGTTTTGTTTTGCGTTGTGTTGTACAGATCAATTAAATCATCATAGGACAAAATAAGATAACCAAAAGGCAAATTACACTGAAAATTCTATTAAATTGATTTATAAATTTGCAACCGAAAACAAAACAAACAAAACAATGAACTTAATTGACTAATTACGATCAAATCAAATCAAAAAACGGTGATAATAATAATTAATTAAGAAACCGAGAGAAATGTGTGTGTTTCAGAAACAAAAAAAAACAACCAAATCAAAATTTCAAAGGACATTGTAATTAAATATCATTTGAAATCGTTAAGGAATTTTTTTTTAAAGAAACTTTGATTTAATTTAGTTATCTTTTAGTTGATTTGATTCTGTAAAAATTATTTTCAAGCAAAAACAACGAAAAAACATTTTGAAAAAGTAAAAAACCACAAATGAAACAAAAAACATTTCAAGTTCTAGGTTTTCTCTCTTGATTTGAATTAAATTTCGATTAATTTTTTGTTTGCTAAATAATTATCATTACCAAAAAGAAATTTTATTCCTAAACAACAAAAACAACAATAAATTGAAGCCAACAACAATTGAAATTGAATTGAATTTCAAACAAATTCTGTCAATGAATGAGAGAAATAAAAAAACATTCATTGTTTCGGGAAAATTTCTCAGGAAATTTCTTTTGTTGTTAAAAAAATTTAATGAATCGAGGGCAACAAAGTTTTTTTTGCCCCAGTTTCCATTTGCATTATTTTTTGTTTTCTTGAATTGGTTATCATTTCTCAAATGTTATAATTTTCATATTCAAACAAAACAAAACAACATACAATAAGTTTATTAAAGAAAAATGAAATCAAATGAAAAGTTTTTCCTATTCGTTTTCCAGAATAAACTATACATATTTTCAATCAGTTGTGCGTGGGTGTTCAAAAAAAAAAAATTAAAAAGACGATAAATGATTTATGTCTTTTCTCCATTTGGAATTTTCAGTTGCTTCAATACAAACAAACAAACACATTGGGTATAGTCATTTTGAATGTCAGAATTCATTTCCCGGTTATTTTTAAAAGATTTTTCATAAAAATTTTTTCATAAAAATTAATTCATTTTCTTTCAACAAACAAAAAACAGAAATCAATCAAATTAATTCTCTTTGAAAAGTTAATTTTTCTTCTTCTTCTTCTTTGGAATCTCATTTATTCACTAAATCATTCAATTTGAATAGGATTAGTCGAGCATCCAATAATGGATTTTAATCAACATATTTTGATGATGATGATGATATAAATGCTTGAATGCACGCGTGTGTTAGTAAAAAAAACAAAGCAAAGCAAAACTTATTCATTTACTCATTATTAAGAAATGAAAAAACTGAAAAAATGCGCTTGTCAACAACACAGCTGAATATCATTATGATATAACAGTTTGACAGATAAAAAAACCCCAATATTAATATAATCCATTTTGTTATGTTTTCCCCAATTTTTTTCTTTTCAGTGATAAATTTCATTATTTTGTTGGCCATGATTTTTGCTGTTGCTGCTGCTGCTGCTGCCGGTTTACGTTCACATTTTTTTCGATGAAATTATGACAAAAAAAAAATTTTTTCCGGATACGTTATTCCTTGTACTAAAACTTTGTTTGTTTGTTTTTTCCTTTTTCTTTCCGTCCAGAATATATTATAGTATCGAAAACAAGCAAACAAAACAAACAACCAAACAATCGACCGACAACCTGTGTTAATAATGTGAATCAAATTTGGCTGCTTGTTTGTTACAATTGTTTTTTTCAAATAAAACAAAAAATTGTAATAAAATTTATAATTAATTTAATTTTAGAACAAAAAAAAAGATGTTGCCTTTATCCAAAATCATATTAATTATAATTATTATAATTATAAATAATAATAATAATTATCGAAATTATTTTCCAATAAAATTATCAAATTTATTGATAATTTTATTTGGTTTAATATCAATTATTAATTTACAATTTATAACAACTTATCAAGGTGATTATAATTAATTTTTAATTAAATTTTATAAATAATTAACTAATTTTTCATTTAAAAAAACAACACAGATAATGATGTTGATGATGTTGAATCATCATCAACATCATCTGTATCCGCATCATCATCATCCGCATCATCCGCATCAGATTTATTTGATAATCAACATCGTAAATATCATGCATTAAAAATACCACCATGTGATCCTGGTTATTTTGAATGCGATTCAGGTGATTATTGTGTTAAACAACAATTTAATTGTGATGATAATGAAGATTGTCCGGATGGTTCAGATGAATCTAATTGTAGTAAGTACATATTTACATATCTTTCATTCAATTTCTTTCAATTTCAATCATTTTTTCGTTTTATTTTTTTCAAATAAAAAAAGCGGATAAATATGATTCAAGTTATTATAATAAATTATTTAGTAAACGTCCGGATGAAGATCGTGAAAAATTAACAATAAATTGTTCATTATCAATAATACCTACAGATTGTTCTTGTTCCGGTATGAATATCTATTGTGTTAATCGTAATCTAAATGATATACCAACAAATGAATTGCCCAAAAAAATGAATGTTTTGTAAGTTTTTCTCTGAATGTGTTTGAGTATCCGTGATTTGTTTTCCATTATTCAAAATTAACTTTTGTTTTTTGATTTTTTTTTGTTTCTTCTGAAAATTCGTCGAACATACAACCAAAACAACAACAAAATAACTTAGAGATTTAAGTGGTAATCAAATTTCAACAATAAAAAATACAACATTTACACGACGATTACGTCATCTAAAATCATTGTAAGTTTGTTTTGAAAAAAAATTACATAAAAAAGGATGTTTAACAATGAAAACAAAAACGATTATTATCAGATGTTTGGCAGAAAAAAAAAACAAAAATGTTTCTCAGATTCCAACAAAAACAACAAATGACTGTTGTGCGTGCTGTTATCGACATTGAACTTATCCGATCGATTTTTGATCGAATCAAATTGATTTTTTGTTCTTTTTTTTGTTTAGTTTGTATTTTTTATTTTCAATCATTATCTTCAGGATTTTCATTTAGTTTATGCCATTCAAATCATTAGTTGATTATCGATTTTCCTTCACCAAAACTGAATGTCTGACATTTTTGTTTTTAGCCTGAAGGGTTTGACTTTTTTTTCATTCGTTTCAAATAAGAAAATGAAAAATCTTTTTCATGAAAAAAGACGTCATTCGTATCATCAGAATTCACCAGTTTTTCATTTTCATTTCTCTTTAATCATTTTAACTAAATTGATTTTCAGAATATATATTTTCAGATCTGTCATTTTCATTTTCTCAAAATAAAATTAAACTTTGTCATTTTGTTTTGAATTATATTTTCCAATAAAAAATATAGAATATTAACCAGCAATAATATACGTACATTACAATCAGATGCATTTGGTAATCTAACTGAATTAACACATTTACATTTGATTGGTAATCAATTGGAAGTGATTGTTGATTTTGTTTTTCATAAAAATAAAAAATTACGTTTATTGTAAGTAATATTTTTCAATTTTTTTTAGATTTTTTAAAATTTTTATAATCAAAATAATAATTTTCCAACAACAAAAAAACATTTAGAAATTTATCATATAATCCGATACGTATAATCGGTCCAAATGCATTTACTGGACTAAATGAATTAATCGAACTGTAAGTAATTGATCAATTGATCATAATCGATCCATATTGTAATCAAAATAATTCATCAAGTCAGTGTTATTTTCAGTGTCATTTTTTTCAGTGTTTTGTTTTCCAGAATCTCTAGAATTTTTAGAAAATAATAATTTTTGTTTTCAAAAACAAAAATAAAAAGTGAAAGTAAATAAAGTGAAAACAATCAGTTTGTTTTGTTTTTTTCTATGACCATCATTAATAATCATTAGGCGTTTACCCCTGAAATTGATCAATCGATCGATCGATCGATTGATCTCTATTCATTCATCCGAATATTAAAAAAAAAAATCCATGGAATTAGTTTTTTGTTGTTGTTTTGTTTCGACTATAACCCTCAGTTTTTATTTTGATATCGGGGAAAAAAGATATTTCACATGATTAAACCGGGTAACCCGGTTTGTGTAAACAAATGATAACATATCAAACAAATCGGTCAAAATAAACACAGCAGTAGCAGCATCGATGACGACGATTATTTGACAAACAATTTATTTTTTACTTATAATCAAACTTTGTTTGTCCCTTTCAACACTTTTTGTTGTTGATTTCTATTTTTGGTCTTTTTTTTCATTATTATGTAATCGATGAATAATTAATCAATAATGATTATGATTTTTTCAATGTTTTTTGTTTCAATGTTTCTAGTGATCTTCGAGCTTGTCAACTAGTCAAATTAATTGATAAACAATTTTTTTTATTAAATCAATTACAAATATTATGGTTACAACAAAATCAAATAATTATGATTAATAATGATGCATTTATTAATTTAAAAAATTTGGATACATTGTACGTATATTCATTATTATTCATTATAATCATCAATTACAAACAGAATTACAAACAAAAAAGGATTAACACTGAAATTTTCTTTTTCTTTTTTTTTCTCATTCTGTTTTTTTAATTGTTTTGCCTTGATTTATCGTTCAAATCGTAATTAAATAAATGTAATAAACCGTGGCAAATGGAATCGATAAAACAACAATAATAACGGGAAAAAACAGATCATTAGCACATAATCAATTAACAGAATTGAATGAAGCAATATTCATTGATCTAATAAGATTAAAATCACTGTAAGTTTTTTATTTGATGATCCAAAAATGATTGGTTCAATCAATTCTTATGTTTTTTTCCTTGTTTTTCATTTTCTTTTTCATTTTCATTTTCAATTCAGTTCATTGGCTTATAATCAATTGACCATTATAACCGAACAGCAATTATATCATATGACTTCATTGGCTAAATTGTATGTGTTTGTTTCAGTCAGTCACTGTGTTTGTTATAAATTGTTTCTTATAAATTTTCATTATTAAAAAACTCCACAAAACCAAAAAAAAAATCCTTCTATTTATCTTTGTCTCATTATTATTATTATTATCATTTTGTTTTTCATTATTTATGACACATTTTGTTGTTGTTATTTTAGAGATTTAAGCTTTAATCAGATTGAAATTATTGAACCACATGCATTCCAAAAAATACGTCAATTACGTTCATTGTAAGTTTTTTTTTAATATTTTTTATTTTTCTGATGCTGATGCTGACAATCATTCCTCATTATGAAATGTCATTTTCTTTTTTCTTTTTCTGTCTTCTTTTTAAAAAAAAAAAATCAGAGCATTACAAGGAAATCGTTTTCAAAAACTTCCTCACCATATATTCAATGAGCTTAAAGAATTGACACATATGTAAGAATATTTTTTTGTTCTCTTATCATCATTATTATTATCATGATTATCAACTGAATGTTATTCATTGGAAAAAAATAATAATAATATTTTTTCTTGTCATTTTATTTTTCAATTCAATTTTTTCCAGTTATTTTAGTGATTTTCGTCATTGTACTTATGCCTTAAATGTTCGTGTTTGTACACCAAGAGGTGATGGTATCAGTAGTGTACAACATTTATTAGATAGTGTTATATTACGTATTGCTGTTTGGATTGTTGCTATGATTGCAATGATTGGAAATTGTTTAGTTATTATTGGTCGTATGATGATACATGAATTAAATGTTGTACATTCATTTTTTATTAAAAATTTAGCTATGGCTGATTTATTAATGGGAATATATTTATTTATAATTGCTTATTATGATATAAAATTTCGTAATCATTATATTTTATTTGAAGAAGAATGGCGTCTTAGTTGGCAATGTACATTTGCCGGTATTATTTCAACAATATCATCTGAATCATCTGTATTCATATTAGCTATTATAACTATTGATCGTTATCTATCTGTAATGCATCCATTTTCAATAAAACGTCATTCAATGTCATTTGCAATTGGTGCAATGTTTTTTGTTTGGTCATTATCAATAATATTAGCATTATTACCATTAATAGCTAAACGTTATTTTACAAATCGTTATTATGGTAATAATGGTGTTTGTCTTGGTTTACAATTACATGATGGTACTGGTATTGGTTATTCAACATTTTTATTTTGTGGTGTAAATTCTATTGTTTTCTTATTTATAATGCATGCATATATGAAAATGTCAATGGCTATTATGAATTCAGCAATTGGTTTACGTACAACACAACAACATGATCGTAATATTGCTAAACGTTGTGCATTTATTGTTGCAACTGATGGTATTTGTTGGTTACCTATTGTTTTAATTAAATTAGCCGCTATTTCAGGTAATTTTTATACAATTTTTTTTGTATTAATTAATCAATTTTTAATTAAATTAATTCATTTTATCCAAAAGGAATACCAATCAATCAAGATTTATATGCATGGGTTGCTGTATTTTTATTACCAGTAAATTCGGCCTTAAATCCAGTGCTTTATACATTAACAACAAAATTATTTAAACAACATTTAAATCGTTTTATAGCACATAATTTTTCATCACAAAATCGTCATACACCACCAATGATGGATCATTCAAGTGGTTCATCATCATTTTGTTCATTAAATCATCATCATCATAATCATCATCATCACCATCATCATCCCCATCATAATCAACAACAACAACTACAACAACAAAATCATTTAAAAGAACATCATAATTATAATCATCATCAAGATTCAGATCCAAGTATACATTTAAATTTAAAAAATAATTTAGCAACTGTTGATCTACATCATTATCATAATAATAATAATAATAATAATTCTCGTCATTCTGATCATGGAAATAATAATAATAATAATATAAATCATTGCCATCATCATCATTGTCATCGTACATCAGCAACAACAACAACAACAACAACAACATCATCAACAATAAAAAATAATAGAAAATCATCATTTCCGAATCGTTTTAATTCAAAACGTTCAATTATGACAATATTATCGGATGGTTCACCAGCAGCAGCTGCAGCCCATTTAACAAACAACACTGGTGGTGTTAGTGGTAATGGTCAATCACCAGCACATACAGTATGTATTTCTAATTAGAAAACAAAAATAATTGAATGATTTTAATTGACATTTTTTAAAATGACAATTAAAAGGCTAAATCACAATATGATTGATTGAATTGAATTGAAAATAGGATCAAAATTTGAATATCGATAATGATGGTATGGAAATTATACGTTTAGAACAATTATTAACTACTACTACAACTACTGAATAATAACATAATCGATTAATCGATTGATTGGATCCAAATAATAATCGAATGACACATCATCATCATCGAAGAATAAACCACCACCACCATTATCATCAACATTATTGGATGAATTTATGAATCTTAAAATTTCATTGAAACCACCTACTTTTTTTTCACTCATTGATAAATCATTTAGGTCTGATTTTTTTTAAATTTCATCGATTCATCGATTATAATTCATTCATCCATCATTAAAATTTATTTATTTAGTTTTGATTTTTGATTTTTGACTTTTAATTTTTGATTTTTGATTTTTGACTTTTAATTTTGTCCATTCCAATTTGTAAATATATATTTTTTTTGCGTCCAACATTTATGGTGAACATATCATCATCATCATTAATATTTTTTTCAAAAAAAACAAAATGCCTTGACATTGGATATCGATTTTCCCTTGTTTTTACCTTATTTTTTTTCTCTCTGATTTTTTTTTCTTCCTTGAAAACAAAAAACAAAAACAAAACTGAAATAAATTACGATTAAATTATTGTTTTTGAAAACAAAACATTATCGCTTGTTTGATAAAGATTGTTTGATTATTTACTTCCAAAAAAATCCTGATACCTGTTGATTGCTTTTGGGTACGTTTAAAACACAGACATTCATCAATGATAATGATAATGATGGTGATCATTTTCATGGTCAATCAATCAATCGATCGAACGAAAATGAAATCAAAATTGAATAAATTAACAAAAAAAAAACTGGTTTGCCACAGCAGCAACAACAAGAAGATTTACTTAATGAATTTTTTGATTATTCAACAAAGATTATTATCAAATGATGATGATGATAATGGTAATGATAATTATCTGATCGATGTTGTTGTTGTCAAATTATCAAAATTTTCTGATGGATACATTCAGTTGAATTTCTCTTCATCATCAACAACATTCCTGTTTCTGAATTTCTTAACATAACTTTCAAATCCAATTTTTCGATCCGCATGTACTCTTTCATACGACAAATCAAATTACCTCAAAGGTACCTTTGTAACCCAATTCTTATTGTTTGTCCGTTAAGATTTTTTTTCTCCCCAAGAAATTAATAAAGGGAAATAATCAGTTTCAAAAAAAAAAAAAAAAAAAAAAAAAAATAAAAAAAAAAAAAATTTTCCTTTTTTTTCGCTAATTCATTCCTTGCTTTTT